AACACTTATCTCTTTCAACCGACAAAGTTTCGTTCCCTGGTGCCCGATCGACGGCGTTCACCGTTTAAAGAAATCTACTTTTTCCCCATGGTGCAATTCGTTCAGAAGGAATCTCCGTGCGAATGGAAAGAGACCTCCGCTCGCTACTCTTCCTCTTCTATTTTTTCTCTTTTACTTTATTCCTTTTTTGCTTCTCTTATCAGCTTAACGAGCTTTTCTTTATCCAGCCGACAACGCCTCTCCGGGCCATTCTTTCATCTCGCATTTTCTTCACCTCTTTTCCGCTCCACCCTCAACATTTTCCTTTTTCCTCGCTCTTTGATTCCTTTTCCACGCTCTTACGTATCATATTTTCTTTCTTCGTTCGCCTTGTTTTTATCCTTTACCTTTAGCCGCACATGGAAATGTCCTGAGCTTTGTTGTCTCTCTGCCTTCGCCTCTTAAGCGTCCTCCATTTCCTTTTGTTTTTACAGCCTTTTTATTCCTCGATTCTTTATGGACGATTATACGGCCTCTGTTCTTACCTGTCCTTCTTTCACTCACTTTCTTTTCTCTAGTTCGCCTTTTTATAGTAGACGCGCTATTTTCTGCGAGGCCTCTGTATCTACTCGGGCTTTGCTCGGTTGCGGGATGAATGCTACCCTCTAGGTTTCTAAGGAACGTTTCGTGTTTTACACCTCGTTCGAATGCGATGTTGAGGAGTTCATGGTTCAGGGGTTCGGTTTGTTAGAGAATGAAGGATGTCTGAGAGACTTTTGGGGGATGGTGGTTTTGAGATTTGGAAGGTGGGGTTTGGAAATTTTGGAAGGTGAGAATCTGGGGATTTAAGAATTTTGGAATTGCAAGATTGGGATTTGGAAAATTTGGGATCTGGAAAATTTTTGAACGGGGAATTTGGAATTTGGGAAATTTGGAATTGGGGGAATTTGGAATTTGGGAAATTTGGAATTTGGGGAATTTGGAATTTGGGGAATATGGAAAATTTGGGGAATAAATTTGAAATTTGGGGAATTTGGGAAATTTGGAATTTGGGGAATTTGAAATTTGGGGAATTTGGGAAATTTGGAATTTGGGGAATTTGAAATTTGGGGAATTTGGGAAATTTGGAATTTGGGGAATTTGAAAAATTTGGAATTTGGGGAATTTGGAATTTGGGGAATTTGGAATTTTGGAAATTTGAAATTTGGGGAATTTGGAATTTTGGGGAATTTGGAATTTGAGAAATTTGGAATTTGGGGAATTTAGAATTTGGGAAATTTGGAATTTGGA